CAGAGATAGAGAAAAAGAGATTGGAGAGAGAGAGATCAGAGACAGAGAAAAAGAGATTGGAGAGAGAGAGATGACAGAAAGAAAGAAAGAGATCAGAGAGAGATATCAGAGAGAGAGAGAGAGACATAGAGAAGAGATAGAGAGAATGACAATGAGAGATAGAGATAAAGAGAGAGAGAGAGAGAGGAGAAAGAGAGATGACAGAGAGCATCAATTATTATCTGACAGCACAGCAAATGTTTATCTAACTTTAATTATAATGGTCTTGTTTAACATGTAAGCACCAACAATGGCTACATTTGGTATCCCTATCAAATGGAATGTATGAAAATGCCTAACTTCGAAAATATTCTTTTTCCAGCACCCCAAGAAGGAGATCTCGCCCCAAGCTCCGTCTCAGGCCCAAGTTCAGACCCGGCCCCTTCACCACCGAACCTACTACCACAACCACAACTACGACCACAACAACAACCAGTACTCCAGCTCCCCTTCTGGAAGTTGAAGAGCCTACAACCATAAGCACAATGACAGAAGACATTGAGACTACCCCAACAGCTGTAGCTCCTCCTCCTCCTCCTCCCCCACCTCCTTCCGTTGAGGAAGAGGTCATGACAACCATTGCTCCACTGCCAGTGCTCATTGAAGCCAGGACAACCGAACCTCCACCACCTCCCACTCCTGAAACCACAACTACTACCACTACTACGACTACATCTACGACCACAACCACAACCACAACCACAACACCACCTCCCCCACCCCCTCCCCCAGTCACAGAAGCTCAGGAACCCTCCCCCATCCCAGAAGATTTAGCTGTCACTGAGAGCTTACGGCAAACAAGGAGAGGGTCTTCAAGGTAAGAATGCAGTAGAAGATCTGCAATTTATGGTTCTTTATTCTTATTTACAAAAGAAAGAGACTAAGGATTGGTACATTTCATAAAACTGGTTTACAGAATAAAATTACTGAAATGGATGAAACCAGAAGGTTTGGGTGCATTATTCTTGTCAAGAGTTATTCTATAAACTCTATTAATGCTTCACACACACACACACACACACACATATGCCCACCCAAAGGTTAAACTGTTTATTCATGTGAATTTTTCTTTCAGATACAAGGCACCACAGCCTCCTTCCCATCCAATTGTTGAAACCACTA